ACCAAGAATGAGGTATGTGATGGAGTGGCAGTGGATCCCTCTGTATGTAAACATTGCCTTAGTTTAATAGCAGGGAAGTAGCTGGAAGGCTGCACAGTGCTCCAGATGAGCAATTAGCATGGCAGGGGTCATGACAAAACAGCCAGAGTCGGGAAGGTGCTATTTCCAGAGTCCAGCTACAGATCTCCTTTGCCAAGGCCAGGAGTCAAATGATCCCAAGAACGCTGGACATTAAAAAGCAAGTTCCTTGAAAGACATGTTCACTAAGCTGTCAGAGAGCTGTTAGCAGGGAAGGGAAGGCAGATAGACAGACTCCCACAGGGGCYTGAAGAAGCAGAGCATGCCTCTGTACTAGAAAGAGGTCAGAGGAGCAGCTAACCCTGCTACTGTGACAAATCCTACGTCTCAATCTCTTCTACACACTGGATTTTCCATCCCTCTAATCCTCTTTGTCACCTGTCCCCCAGGCCCCTGTTATTTTTACTGTATCTCTTTCTCGATCTGAAATAACCAGAATGGAACAAAGGTCTACAATTTATATAATGGCACAAAAATAATACTAAAAAGTGTCCCCCACAGAATCTGAGATGTAGACCAGCATAAAATAGCAAAGTTTTTAGTGAGCTGCCGGGGCCTTTTCTTTTTTCTAARTGGTTGCAGTTAATTCAGAGCCCAGCAATGCACATGGGTAGTTCAAATGTTGTCTCTCAGAGTACATTACCTTGTAGTTGTTCTGTGCCATCTCAGTGCCATCTCTCCTCACTGGTTATTGGAGGAGGTACCAGTGCAGCTGATGTTTTTCAGGAGGGTACAAAGTGAGGGCCATTTTGGGAGTTACAAGGTAGGGGTCTAGCGAAGCAGGAGTGGCTTCTAGGAAAGCACCAGGAGAAGCTTATGTAGGAAAAAGTAAACATATTTAAATTTCACAGTGTTGATATTTTTTGCTGCATTCACCACCTTCTTCTCTTCCTGCTCTGGGCAGGCTCACTGTGATTGAGGCACAGCAGCGTGCATAAGGAGTGACAATGYCACTGCCAAGGCTTCTGGCTTTATCTAGTTTGGACAAGTGGCATCTTGTGCAATTCCTTGGTTCCCAGTGCTGAAAGTGTTGGGAGTGTCAGCTGTAATTGCAAAAGGGAGTCTCCATCCTGAGCCCAGCATGGCTGCAGGAGAGCCAGGGCAGTACAGCTGTGACAAGCCACAGGCTCCTCTTGGACCCAGCCGGGCCATGGGACAGGTCTCCCTGCAATCACCTTTTTGAAGTCTTTCCTTCCTTCTGGGCCTGATCCTGTCTTCCCTGGGAACAGGAAAAATCTAATTTTCCCTTTTCTGTGCTCTCTCACCTCCTTTCTTCCACTGATGTTGCCAAGTTGTTGGCTTCTGCTGGTGATGCCTCCTGTTGGAGGCTGAGTGCCTGTGCTCCTGATGCATGGAGAGCTGGCTCCTCTCCACTAGCAGGACTCTTTTGAAAAAGGACAATTCTGGACAGGTCCAGCGTGAGTGCAGGCAGCACAGAAGTTTGCCTGCCAAGGAATGTTCACAAGCATCTGGCTCTTGAACAYCTCCCTCCTGAACCTGATATTGTGTAACACCAGTAAAAAGGAACCTCTTCTCCCCTTTTCGTCCCCCTTGCTCCACCCTCAGACTCTTCTACATCCATTTTCAACTTCTTTGTATGCTCCTCCTCCCACTGATGTCAGAAAAAGRAAAAATATGTAACATGCAGAAAAATCCAAACTATTGACATTGCCGCTAATTTCAGCAGTGACTCTTTCAGGCCCACACTGTGAGAACTAACTTTTATTGCTCATTATAAAACAATATCTCCTAATAGGGGGGTGCAGTGCTCTGTGCTGCCAATAAGGGACATTTAGCCCGGAAATTTGTGAGTGTAATTTATCGGCAAGCATGCCCCGTGCACACACACACAGGTAATGATGGTGTTAGCCGTCTGACAAATTACAGGGCCTTGCACATTTGACCTCCTCCCCTGCCCTGTGCKCGGTATCGCATCTCCCAGGGGGTTCATCCTGACATCCCACCTCGGAGCAGCTTCCAGCTGCTGCCATTTTGGATATTCTGCCTATTTATTTCTTTCCAAAGATCCTCCCTGCTCTCACCCCTGGGGTTATTYTGTTTTCACTGCTGCTGCATGCGGGGCTCAGTTTGGTGCCAAGCCTTGCTTGGGGATCAAATACCTTATAATTTTACTGATTAGAAATGTGAACTTTATAACAGTGGTGGAAAGGGGAGCAYCAAAGTCTTCTGCCAAGATATTTAGCTTTTGTTTTTAGCACTGAATACTCTYCAAATAGCAGACTTCAAAGCTGAGACCTTTTCCTATGTACAGGAAARTTATTCTGGACATTTTCTGAATTGGATTAAGTTTATTCATTTTTTTCCTTCTGAGCTGTGTACAGTTTACCTTACAGTAACCAGAGCTTGAAAAGTACAGCGATCTGAAAATGCTCCCAATAAAGTTTCAAAAGTGTTTGCAAGCATTTCCAAAATAGTTTTGCTTTAAAATATTCAGTATATAGTGTCTGATTCAGCGTGTCTTTTCTCCTGGATTTCAGTACAAGATAAGTACTTAACTGCTGAATAGTAATAGATTAAAGCACATGTTTAAACACTTTGCTGAATACAGTCCATACAAAATACATGATGTTGTACTGCAAGGTTTTTTCTTCACCCATTCAGGGATGAAAGGACACATTCACTAGTGGCTTTGACACTTATGACTAAATAAGGCATTGCACATTCAGATGGATAAACAATTTATGTCACACTATCCAATGTCCTCATGCTCTCCTTCTAATCTGTTTGTTTGTTTGGACATCTTTATCATAGCACTCAGCAAAATGCTTAATTAGACATGTTTGTATGGTAACGCGGTAGTCAATAATCTCAAATTACAGTGCTATGTTTTCAAAATTTCTAATATAAAGATGCTTGCATTGATAGTGCATGTTAGTAGGAGTCAATCCTTGACATATAGTCTAATTGGTATTTTGTGATTTTAATGACTAAAATTTGATAAATATCAGTGTTTGTCCTGCTTCTCTTCCTCAGAATGTTTGGTTTTTATTCTGACCATTTGCAGGCTTTTTTTCACTTGCTCCAGATTCCTTCATTTCTGCTTGGTTCAAGAAGAATCAGTTCCCATTCTCCGCTGCCTGCAAAGCAAAGGCTTCMCTTTGCTCTTCTGAACCTGCACATGGCAATTATAATCAGTAATGAAAAGTCAGCAAATAACAATTTAAACAGTTGCTTTTCAGTAGAATGAATGCTGGATCCTCTTGAGCAGGCAGGGCTGGTGATGAGCCTGTCAGTCAGGAACTCTCATGCTTGGCAGGCCGATTTACCTGTCTGATGTTCCTGCTCGTTCTCCATCATAAAATAAAAACACTTCACTTGTCAAACATCTTCCTTTTCTGGGATGCGTCTCGCATGCACACTGCTCGTCCATTTGAAACTCAGCTGTGCCTCTAGCAGTCAATCTGACAGCTCAGCCAGACTCTGTCCTAAAGAGATTTCCCAGTAACCCACTGAAGCATTGCAAAAACCTGGGTCCTGCACAATGAAAATATTTTTTTATGCACTATTTTTCTTAACAGAGAATTAACCCTTTGCAAAACACAACAGGAATTTTAAGTTCTTTAAGACAGGAAAAAAAACACTGTCTTCCAGACATTGAAATGTCCAGACTAATCCTGAATCCTCCCCCCTATAACTTGTGTTGAGCAAGCAAATCCAAGTGGTGCAAATGGTGGATTAGGTTCCTCCTCGACTTTAACTTTGGGATAACTCTTCAGACCATACTGCCTCACTGTTTCCTGACTGCAGCTATCAGCATTTTACCTTGGCTCAGCTCTGACACTGAYAGGCAAGCATTGTGGAATGGCAGGGACAGTCAGCCCAGGCTCCTGCCCCAAACTGAGGTGCCTGCATGGTTCTTCTCTCTTCCATGCTTTAGGGCAGCAAGAAAGGAAGTGAATGCAAAGAGGCTCAGTTTWTGCCTGTTCTTTCTAATTCAGGGTTAGAGGACTTTGCACAAAATTACAGAATATGCTGAGTTGGAAGGGACACACAAAGATCATTGAGTTTCCTACTCCTTGCCCTGCACAGCACCATCCCCAAGAGTCACACCATGTGCCCAAAAGTATTGTCCAAATGCTTCTTGAACTCTCTCAGGCTTGGTGCTGAGACCACTGCCCTGAGGACTCTGTTCCAGTGCCCAATTACCCTCTGAGGGGAGAACATTTTTTTAATATCCAACATAAACCTCCCCTGACACAACTTTGGGTTGTTACTTTGGGTCCTGTTGCTGGTCACCCCAGAGGAGAGATCAGTGTCTGTCCCTCCTCTTCCCCTTGTGAGGAAGTTGTAACTGTGATGAGGTCTCTCCTCAGTCTCTGCTTCTCCAGACTGAGTAGACCAAGTGATCTCAACCACTCCTCATTCGGCTTCCCCTCCAGAGCCTTCACCATCTGTGTAGTTCTCCTTTGGACTGTCTCTAATAGTTTTATGTCTTTCTTACATTGTGACACCCAAAGCTGTCCCCAGCACAGAGCTGCCCTAGCCCAGAGCAGAGCGGGACAATCCCCTCCCTTGCCCGGCCGGTGATGCTGTGCCTGATGCCCCCAGGACAGGGTTGGCCCTCCTGGCTGCCAGGGCACTGCTGGCTCATGGTCAACTTTCCTTTGGCCAGGACCCCCAAGTCCCTTTCCCTGGTGCTGCTCTCCAGCATCTCATTCCCCAGTCTGTCCACACACCCAGGTTTGTCCCATCCATTTGCAGGATCCAGCTCTTTCCCTTGTCGAACTTCATGTGGTTGGTAATTAATTGCCCAGCCCTCTAATTTGTCTCTCTGCAGGGCCTCCCTGCCTTAGAGGGAGTCAGCTCCTCCCATTTTTGTATCATCTGTGAACTCACTTAATATACCTTCCAGTCCTGCATCCAAGACATCTATGAAGGTGTTGAAGAGCACAGGGACAACCCTCATCCACCCCACTCAGTTATCTTGGTATCTAGTGCTTTAAGGAGASCTCCCAGTCTGGGCACAAACTGTTTTTTAATAGAGTTTCTTTCCAAAACTGAGTTGCCCATGATTGGCTTGTGCTCTGAAGCCTCAGAGTTTTTATCAGTTCTATTAGGATTTCAGGGAATCATGGGCCATAGGGCCAGATTTGTGAGAGCAGAGGTTGCCCGGTTTTATATATCTGGAGCTAAAAAACAAAACCACATCCAAGAAGCTTGGGGAATATTAATTATTAATTTAGCTGCTGACTTTTACATTTTGTCCCTACAGGCATCAGGAAGGATACAGAGTGACCAGACTGCAGTATGGTCMGTGTTTCTAGTGTGCACTGTCCTTTTCTCCCAGCAGGTTGGACTTCTGTCATTCCTTAAGCCATGCAGATCTTCCAACTGGTCCTTCCCTGCAGCTGCCCCAGCTGCAGCTCTCAGTAAAAAGCTGGTTTTTCTCAGGAATCTGGAAAATATTTTAAGACCTGAGGTTCCTGCCATGCAAACGAAGGTGTGTTACACATCTTGTTCTGAAAAATCACCGCCATTGAATTAATCAGACAGTTATTCATCTCACACTGTAATTTTAGCCTGTAAGCTGCTCATCATCTCCAGGTATGTTGAATGAACCAATCTCACATTTGAGAATTTGTCAAAAGTATAACTGGATGCAATGATTTTGACAAAGATTCCCCAGCATGGGATTTTACAATGYATGTTTCTTCCAGTGACCTACAGTAAGAGGACAACCTTAACAATTTAAACATCCACATTATTCCTCCTATAGTTTATACATCAGAAACAGAAGCATGGGATAAATTAAGTGATTTTCCTGTGTTCAGGACAGTTGGCAAACTGGACTGAAATCCAGAGTTAAGTTCATCAGCTGAGCAATATTGTCCACAGTGGAGACTCACACTGCACGTAAACTGGGGGGCAAAAGGGAGCACAAAACTGATTTCAGGAGATGACACAAYGCCTCTCAAGCTCAAAGCTGATGGAATAACAGGATGAACTAGCTGTAGAGCAAAGTATGGGAAGAATGAAAACAACCATTGACAACATGAAGCCACCTCTTTCCTTGGCCAAATGATGCTCCAATTAGCAGCTGGTTAATATTTTATATAACATATGTTTGAGCATTACAGTAATGTACTAGGACAAAGGGCATCAGTGTTTTGATAGGTGATTGAACTTTCAGGAGCAGAGAGGGAAGACAGAAGGGGATTCTTATTTTCAGAGTAAWTAAATGGATTGGTACACAAAATGTCCCAAAATTTTAATTTCCTATTTTTTCACAATTATATTAAAGACAAATAAGATGACTCTTATGTTGGCTGAAGACCTTAGCTTATGATTACTCAATTGAAAGCTTTTGCAGCTTAACAAATTACCACCCATCTGGTAAGCCATCCTTTCTAGCCCCATGTGTGCTCTTAGCCATCCTGATATCRTGAATTAAAGCACATCAGCATCAGTGGGTTGGCCTGTCCCTCAGAGGTGCTAGCACCATTTGTTTGGAAGGGTGACAGCACCCTTTGGCCAGGTGGTAGGAGCACACAGCCATCTGCTGAGCTTCTGAAACATGTGGCAGAAAGGACTGGGAGTTATTGTCAAATCTCCATCTTCTGCAAGATAGATCCTGTGGGGTGAGGAAATGACAGGAGCTGCAGTCACAAAGCTTTCTGGGATCTGACCCAGCAATACCTCTGGCAGACACCTATAGTCTCTCCCACATGTCCACGGCTGATAAATCACACCAAAGGCAAATAATAATGGCCAGCTGTTTGGTTCATTGGACGACGAGCACTTTCCTTACCAATTTCAATTACTTAATTGTTTTGAGAAGGCCTTTAATTTGCAGGCCGTACCTTGAGTCAGCCTGTGTGGACGGCGCTTGACGGAATCGATTCCCCACATTAATGAGAAGGGGCAGTGCCGTGGTGTTCTTGTAGCCTGCACTTTCAGACTAAACAGCAAACATCAGAGAGTGGCAGGACAAAGAGGGACAGTGGCATTGGAGACATTGATCTGAACTCTGTGTCTCATCGAATTGTGCGGGTTTTTTTTGCTGTAGACACAATCAAATATGCCAAACGGCTGCTAAAATGTAAATGTTAGCAGTCAAGGTCACCTTCCTAGGGACACCGAACAGTGTGCCCCAGGCAGGCCCCATTAGTGGCAGCACTGACAGCATTCCTATCACCATCTCCTCCCCCGGTTCTTTGCTCCGTGCTGAGAAATATTCCAGAGGCAAAAGGCTTTTCCATCTGATGCTAAAAAGCTGTTCCCTTTTCCCACCCAGCCTAGGCTCAAGTTTAATAAAAATCCTCATTAGTTGTCATCTAAATATGCAGGAGCTCCATGCCAAGTATTGCAGCTGAGTTAGGGAGAGCCAAAGCAGGTTCTAATTAAAGATGGGGCCAGAGCAAAACCTTGGGTCACAAGGCTCTACTTGGTGGAAATTTGGATCCAAGCTGTGAATGCCATTGATCAGGATGATCTCTTCACTCAAAGCCCTGGGTACTACCTGGCAGCATAATTGCAAACCCCTCAGAGCAGCCCTTTCATTCAGACACCCTGCATAACATGGTGGAGTTTCTCTGRCTGTTTGACTTTAATTAAGGGATGGGAAGCTTTAATTAATACAACATGACAGTGAAAATATAATCTGTTGAGTGGCCCCTGTTGTTTGTTCGCATGTTAATTTTGYWTTTTTTTTTTTTTTTTTAACACGCTTGTTTTTTAATTTTGTGCAGTTGTTCCTGAAAGCCACTAGCAGCAGCCACCAAGTGTTCCACAAGGAGCCCGGGGGAGCAGGGTGTTAATAAGTGCTGGGTTTGGCACCTGAGGAGGCACAGAGGTGCTTGGAGGTTGTATAAAACAAACAAGATAGCTGGGTTTTTCTGTTAACATGATCATTAGGGAAGGACTGAAAATCAATGATATCTTTTACTTCTGCCTTTATGTTTCAGGGTCAACAATGTACTGAGATAGGTGAGATCAACAAGATAAGGTTTGTCATATAATTTTCCCATGGTTTAGTTGTAGTAAAAGTGATTCTTTTTTAAAACGAAAATCTCAATTCAGCAGCAAGATAAATAGCAGTGAGGCCCAGAGTACAAAAGACAAATCCTGAATCTGAAACTGTGTGGCCAGCTATTCTCACCTTTCCTTGTAACTTAAAATGCAGAGTTGCTCCCATTTAAAACTTCYTTTTCTAGTTTCTTACTGTGCTGTTGTAATGGGATGTTCCACCTGCACCACAGCTTCCTTTCTGTCCAGAAGAGCTCTTGAGTTGCAAAATTCAGTGGCTTTGAGCAGTGGAGATGTTGGTGGCAAATTCTGAAGCTGGAGMTTGAACACATCATCACATTTTCACAAAGTCCTGAAAACACAGGTTCATGTTAGCACTTTGCTATTGACAAAATATCATCTTGCCAAAACATTTTTTTCTATTGAGCCTRTGTGTTTTGGACATGCTGAAAGTAATTGCATTGAACTTCATGAAAATGTCAGCAGAAATAATACTTCTCAGCWGATTCTCCTTGCCAGCAATACATAMAAAGTTCTAAGAAGTCTATGCAACTTCAAAGTTGTTTTTGAATGGCATTTGGGTTACACAGTGAAAAAGTAACCAAAAGTAATGTTCCAATGGTCTWAAAAATTCAGCTTCTTTTATTTTTTGCTGAACAGCATTTTTCCATCAATCACGTGGCAAGTCTCTGTCACAGAATTAGGAGCAGGTTGCAGGGATGTGACCACAGCCAGAGCTGCAGCTCCTGTCCTGCCACGTCTGTAGGTTCAGACAGTGYTTGTCTCAAGCTCTGTTACAAGCTCTAGTCAACCACATGCATGCTGAGCTATTAGCTGCATGCAGCACAAAGCACTGGGGCTATTGCTAATGGTAATTGTGTGATGTTGATAGCAGACTGGAACTCCAACAATCTTTAGGAAGCAGCTGAGAGCTAAAAATCGGAGCTGATGAACAAACATTAATATTTCCTTCAGTTGTGTGAGACTCCTGTGAAGATTTACATAATTAATCTTCAGCAACAAAACATTTATAATGCAGTTTAATAATCTGGGTGATAGACAGGYCATGTTAATTACGATCTTGCTTCCTGGTTTTAAAAGCCATTGTTTCCAGGCTCTTAGTTTAGAAGTGAATAGCTTGTATCAGCTTGAAGACAGCAAGTGTGCCGATGATTAATGCCTGAGTGCTTGGCACTGACTGGGAGCTGTGAGAGGGGTCCGGGCCCTTGCACTGCCACGGGCTCTACACGTGACTGGGGGGAGCCATGGACACATTTCTGCATTGCTGATATCCTCCTTGCTGATATCCCAGCAACCRATCTCTGTTACCCCAGTTGCAGGTTCTGTCACATCCCTCCTACAAATAAAAACTAATTTTGGGGCTCTGTTCTAAAATACATGTGTAAAATCGTGTGTGGGGCTTGCAGTTTTTCATAGGTTTTTTTTTTTTTTTTTAAAGATAATATTTTGGGGTTTTTCTTGTTTTT